ATTAACTAAAATTGAAATTGTAAACACAAAAATTAAATTAAAAAATTAAACAAAAAATAATTATGATAAAAATCATTCACAAATTACCAGTTTCAAAATAGCAAAATTGTTGTTGTGCAAGAAAAAAAATATTTTTTACGAAACCAAACCGAAACTTTACTACTTTATGTTTAATTGGCAAAATATAGACTTATATATATATTTCATCTATAGCTCTATAATCCACCACTTACTGCCATTTAAGCTTTTATATTCAATGGATTCTTGTTTTTTTTTTAATTTACCTTTTGTGCTATCTTCCTATTCATCACTCTGCATATGCATAACCAATATGTAACTACCCCATCGCCTGCATAAATCATCAAAATCAATGCAACACTGTGTTTTTACCAACTATAACAACAATAATAATAAATTACAACAACAATAGCAACGAAACCGGACTATCGTCACCCATACGCAGTGGCTACCTTAAGCGGAAAACCTATTTGAATCTACACTAAAAGAAAGCATGAAATCAAAAAAAAAAAATTAAAAAGAATAAAGCGAGCTTCGAAAGACTTCCAATATTGCGCATGTGTGAATGCAAATAGCAGTATAAGGCGAAATAGTATACTAAATTAACTAAAATTGCATAGAATAACGTCCAACATTCCTGGCTGCCAAGTGAAAGGAAAAAGAAAACAATAGCAAGAAGTGAAGAAATGAAATGTTAGAACGCTCGCTCTTTCCAACAAGGACGCCTCTACATATATTTCCGCCCGCACGCATGTCACATGTCTAACCAGAAACGCTTTAGCAGCATTTAGCTTAGACATAATGAAACTAGTACGAGTATTTCCCCTCCTCAAACGCGAAGAGCATAGAGCTTAGGCTTAGTCAGCGCTCCAGTTTAGTGATCATTTAGTACTCACTACTATAAATGCTTATACATATATCCATGGAGAGCAAAAGGATGTGAAAGAATCATCAGCAAAAATAAAATAAAGCTTAACTATCTACTATTCATACCTATACAACTACAGCATACATATATATAATATATTATACATATACCAAAAATATTATATATGTAATGAAACGAAAGGCTTCACTTAGTGTGCAGAAGTTTAGAGTTAAATTGTGATGAAGCGTAATGGAGTACAGCACTGTACACTAACCCACTCACTCATTTGCGATTACTTAGTAGAGCATTGCTACTAGAACTAAAAGCGTAACGAATACAAATAATGCAAAGAAATGTTTAGAAAATATTTAGGAAATCACGCCTAATGTGTCACGAGGTAAGTAGACTATATTTTAAGTATTTATTAAGTATTTTACAAACAAAAACTTTTTATATTTACCTTATAATTTAAAACTCGGATCGCTATCTTGTTTTCAAAACGTAAGTAAAGTGAGAAAAAACGATGATGACGATTATTAGAAGGGTTAGTTTAGATAGTCATCTTAACAGCGTGAATGTCAATATAACCACTTTTAAAAAAATCACGAAAAACTCGTGTTTCTGTTAGTTTTTCAACTGAAGCACAAATAACAGGAGGCATTAAAGATATAGTAACACCTGACCTGGAAGTGTTTTATGTGTTTATATAAACTTAAATATATATCAAATGCACATGTATTTGAGAATATTCTCCAAGATTTTTAGAGTGATCCGGAAATTAGTTTCGGAGTTACGAGTGCATTTATAAGATTTTTTTTAACTAGATCGGATCAGCTGTTTTCACAGGCAAGAAAAATCATTTTCGAAACGGATTGCGGGAGTTACTTGAAATTTTCACGGAAAAATTTTATAGATGTATTTTAGAATGATCATGGGAATATAATTTTCATTATATCGGTTTTCTTTGGGAATCCGGCATTATTAACTGTATTCATCAATAATAATATTTATTTATGGATATGAGATATTTTTTCTTAACAACTTTGCTTGGTTTAATCTAAATTTCAAAATTTACTAAATTTAATTCCATTTTGCAAAATATTTATGTCAATTCTATATTCGAATTTCCGGGTTCCCAAGCGTACGTAGCCAGCCAGTCTATAAACATAGCTTATATATAAATTTGAGACTATTCGGTTGAAGACCTAAGATAAACATTCAAACTGAATGACTTTAGCCAGACAATCGAGATATAAAAAAATGTTGTTATTTGGATAAAAGTAGCGGCCCCTTTGCAATATGCAAGGTTTCTCTGATCTACTACATAGTTATATTTTGAAATGGATGATTATGAAAACCGAAATTATAGCAACATAAAATTAGTACATATGCATACGAAAATATAGGGCCATAGGGTATATTCAGCAACATATATGTTTAAACAATATTTTTTTATTTGCACTTACCTTTAGAATAATCTGCAAAAGAAAAAAAAGTTAAGAA